CTACTTTCTCGCGTGCTTCCTGCCCTGTTCAGAACCTTTCCCGTGCGCAAGGCAGGATTTGTCACAACCTTCTGAGCCTCGTCCACAGATCAATTTAACTGCGTGTCTAAAAGGAATGCGCCGCATACTCGCATCCCCCCCAAAGCATGCAATGACCCAGGAGCATGAGGGGGGCAAAAAGTAATAGGACCCTCTTGACACATCTTCCATGGTCGTCCTGGCATCATGTTTCCTTAGTCTCTGAACTAAGGCTCGCACAATCTCGCTCTTGGCGATGCCGATGCAGGGGAAATACCAGCCCACGCAGAATTCAAAGATCATAAATGCAACCAGGCAGTAGCCAATTGCCTTGGATCCCTACACAGGTGAGCAGAAAGTATGCGGAAAAAGGCGAATGGCCTGAAGATGGCTATGCGTAGCTGCTATTGGAGCATTTGTACAATGACCTCGGAGACCCGGCTAGGATTTGGAACTGCTGTGAAGGAGTTCTTGGTAATTTTAACTTTTGTGTGACTTAAATTCTGAAAGGGACATCCGTAGCCTCAAAACCCTAAATCTCAAACCTGGCCATCCCCACAGACTCCCACCACGGTCATGAAGGCTTTACCTCGTCTAGATGCTCGTCAGCAATTCTGGCGGTGGCTTCCTGGAATTGTCACGAGGCCTTTTCCAAAGAACAGCACCCCAAAAGAACCCGTTTGTATATTGCAACGCACTATACGACGCAAACCTTCAATGTGTGTATGTTCCAAAAATTGGAAGCACAAGCAGAAGCAAGAGCAGCATGCACCAGGAGCGAAACTGAGCCATGAAGCAACAAGTACTGACCCCTGCCAAAAGTCCGTGCAAGCGCTGCGGCTCGCGAGTGCGAAGGACAGGACGCAAAGGAGCATTATTATCCGAAGCTGCCTGCGCGGACCTGGGGAGCAACAAAATCACGACCCCAGATCATTCATAGTTAACAGGTGCAGCATGAAAACCGCCTTGGGTGTACTTTTTGAGCTGTTTGATCTGCAGGAAGGTTGGCCATGGAACCAGCCAAAAAATTGAATGTTTGTGGAAGTATACGACAAAACAATTCCAAAAACAATTTTCAGAACATCCCCAGAAGACTGTAAGACTGCATGCGCACCAACTCCCAAACTTATCTCCCAAAGCCCCCGACGCTACTGCACTCCTACAGGTGCTGTAAAGACTGTTGTTACTAGTATCTATACTCCTTGTATGTTTGTGCAAACAAATTTGGCGCTAAAGGCTTTTGCGTACCACTGCAACCAACCTCATGTGTGAGCACCATACCCCAGAGCTGATGGATCTCCAGAACTTCATGTCAACAGAATAGGTGCGCTCCTAATAGGACTTCTTTGCAATGATCACTGCTCGCCTCTTTCTAGATTCTTTTTATACCGCTCAAGTGTCTAAAGGACAGTATGTCAGCCCTCGGTCTTGCAACTGAATGCTCTCCACTCCTTTACTTGGATCCCTGACTAACGTTCCGAAACTTCGAACCATGATCCCCAAAGGCATGATCCTAAAACCTACGCCCACTTGCTGACACAGGTCACTACTCACACGCCCTTGACGGGAAACACTTCAAGGAATAACCGACCAAAGAACTCATGAAGCGCCCACCCAGCGTCGCTACCTCAGCAAATTGCGTGGCATGTGTTCAGACATGTTAATCCCACAGGCCATGCAAACTCTTGAAGCACAGTAAAAGAAGGCCATGTTGGATGTAATGCAAATGCGCATCTTGTCATAAGCTGTGTGCATTGTGAGCTGTACTACCAACCTCAGCGCAAGACCCTACTGTTGATATGCATGATGCATGCTATTGCTATCTGTGCTTTTATGCCAAATCTGCCCGCTACTCTCGCTGCAACGACTGGATATTTGATGTGCTTCTGAAACTTTGACTGCGCAAAAACACGCAGATACGGGGTTGCCGGGAAGTGTTTTTGGAGCCCCCTCAATACCAAAGAGCTTTTGGCTACAACGAAGCAACTGGCGCACACAACAACTCTCTTCACATCAGTTGCTCCCTGCTCGAGCTTACTTACCATTTCTTCCGATACACAACATCAACCCAATGTGTCAAACAGGAGAGGAAATTGCCAACTTGAGGCCGCAGGCGGAAGATCCACAAGTTGCGGCGAGCATAAAGAGCGCAAACACAAGCCCATGAGGCGGAATGGTCTCCTGCTCATCGGTTGCCAGGGTCACACCACTAAGCTCTTCCCCTAAAAAGGTTCCCCCAAAATAGCTCCAATATAGGGGTGCAATCTTAAGGGTACAATCTGCAGCCCTTGATCTGAAACGTTGGAATCCGGGCCTTGGAAGGATTTAAAGAAGCCCAAGTCATTCTCTATACCGCTATTGGGTAATTCGTAGGACCCGTTTAGGTGGATCTAGTTTCCAGATCTTTCCAGCAGTTTGGGAATGTAAGTAGGCCACCATTTTGGGCCTCTAACTTTTGCGGGCAAGGTCGGTAAGGGCAGCATTTACAACTCTGTAGTGCCAAGATGGTTGAGTGCCCCCAGATATAGGTCTAGGCGTGCGTCTCACAGGCTTGGTCTTCAAGAAAGATTCAGAGCTGAATCAGTACGAAGCTGCCCAAGAGTCCGAAAGCTCTCACGACGACACTCCAGATTGTTTGGAGAGACCATTCTGATCCTGACATGATCTGTCTGGATGTCGAGGAAGTTCTCCACAACCATCCTCTTACAACCAGTCCACCATGCAGCAACAACCCTAAAACCCCGAACTTTGGTTTCAAACCCCAGGAGACACAACCCTGAAACCGTTCCACAACCCTTGAACACTGAAGGCGGGTCCGCTGACTCCAGCGCCGGAGTCCAGTTGGAGACGAAAACATACCTCAACACATCGGAGTGGATGGTATTGTGATTGCAGACGCCTATTCAAGAAAACATAATGCACAATCTTCGAAGGGCACATTGTGGATTGTCAGGACGGGAAGGTTAGGTTCTGGAGTTTGGAAGGCATGGGGCCTCCTCAGTGATTCAGTACTACTATTACTAGTAAGTGTTTATCAGTAGTATGTATAGTACTAGCCATGAATGCCAACCTTAAAACTTGGCAACGCAGGGAACCCACTTTTGCGGCCCGGGCTCTCTAAGGTCTTTGTGAACTTGACCGCTTCACCAGGCTGCTTTTAAAGAATGTACATTAGATTATTATAATAAGGAAGCCATCCTATTTACGATGTACGCATAATGTGGTAACCAGTTCCTTAACAGCAGCCCCAGTAAAGCCACAGTTGGGGAAATCCTTTGCTCTCCTCCGTGCACGAAGCTAGCAACTAAACTCATGCTTGCAATGAGCTTTGGGCACTAGTTTTTCACCATCTGGGAACCGATGCTTCAATGTTCTTAAGGTCTTGCAAGCCATGGGATGAGTGCTCTACCTGCTTCGTGAACTTTTTTGTTGCTTGAATTCTGCTTCGGTATTCTCATCTGCGCCAAGGCTTTCAATAAGAATCATACTCATATGAAGTACACCCTGCCCCTGATATTAAATATGATCCCCAACATATACGGTCTTTTAGAGGGAAAATCTGAGGGTAGGGATACCGTAAACCGTTAAACCTAATAGATTATAATTGACAGGCCTAGGCTCTCAGTGAGTCAAATATGGGCTCTGCTACTCAACTTAGCCCCTTGGGGTATCTATCAAGCCCCATCAGCAAGTCCTCACATCTAAACGCTCGCAGTTTTTCACAGGTTCCCGGATGTTGACACCAAGTTCCCCCACTAGATGAGTCCAAAAGTTCTTGCGTGCGCAAAAGGCCCTTCAGACTTGTAAAGCAGTTGTTCTAAGGCCGTGCTCCACGAAAGCCGAGGGGCATGGAGCCCTCAAAGATGGCCACTAACATGCCTCGGCAACATGCATTAGCATTCCCTGCAAGATTCTCGCAGCCTTGGTCAAACCAACGTTCTGCCTTTTCTTACGGTTGTCGTAAATGATACTTCACAGACCTGATCTTTCAACAGCCCTCGTTGATCCAATGGTGCATCTCGACCCTTCGATCAGGGATCCCGCCATAAATTGTGAGAATTCCTTTCAAGGATTGTATGGCGACTTTTCTGAAAGACTCTACCATGTCGTAGTTCTCTGATCTAAGCTCCAAGTCATATGCTAGCTTCCAGTTCCCTTTCCATTCCCCACATATCCCTAATCGAAACATTAAGAAGTCCAGGGAGCCAATTTTGAGGGTTTCTGGAGCTCGAGGTTTCAGGTTGACGCGGGAGTTTCTCAATATGACCCTTAGGTCTTTCCCCTCTTACAGTAACTGTCCTCTTCGGGGTCTTTATTAAGGGGCCATTAGAACTCCTATTGCCTATGGTGATAACAGTCACTGTAAGGGGGCATGACCTAAAGGATTCCTATGTAATCCTCAAAAAGGACCCCATAACACTCTCGACAACCCCTATGAACCCTGTACGATCACACTCTATCCTGAAGCTCTCCAAAGGGCTCCTATTTTGAGAGCCTCCCGCATTACTGGTTTCTTTCGGGTTCTAATGTGTCGGGGAGATCCCGCTAGACATGCGGCCTCTTCCGGGCTAAGGTTTTTCTTTTCGACAAGCAAGGTGGATAGTTCAACGACACCGGGGTTGACTCCACAAAGCTCTGGAATGTTTTATCTGCTTTTGGGCCTGGTCATCAGGATTTTGCTGGCGGCTTAGCTTCCTGATCCTGAAGGGCCCATGAATTGTGCAATATGTGGGGGTGAACAGCCTTTTGAGAGACTGTCATCACCTTTCCCGCTTGAAACAGAATTTCGAAGCCGCAAGCTGAAGGATCCATTCAACCCCCAAGCCTAGAAGCAACGATTTGCTTGCACTAGGTTTTGCCTGGACAGCAAAAAGCAAGTGGATACTCAGGGCAGCTAGATGCAAAGACGAAGGCAATTCCGATCCTTCGGCAGAGGCCGTGGTGTGCGAACACAACTAGGAGCCCCCAACAAAAGTATACTTTAAGCAGGGAAATTGTCCGAGTACGTCAGAAAGGATTGCAATTTTACAGATCATCTGTGGTTTCTGTGGTCTTTCTCATATCAAGTCCTCCAAATTTGATCAAAATGGGCTGGCGTGGAATATGCAGCAGGTGTTGAATGTTGGGGGTGATCTGTAATTGGCTTCGTGCTTTTGATGGTAGAACGCCTTGCATCTTACAACCATCTGTGGGACATATGATGTCACCGCCTCTGTTGAAGCTATTCGTTGGGTCCTTCTCAATAGAGAGTCCAACATTTTTTCACGTCGAAGGCTCGGCAGGACCTGACTCCAAACGTTAAACCACATGCTCGCATTCCGGCATTTGAGGGTTTGGGGGTGAAATGTGGAGGACTGTTGGGGATGTAGACCTCTGAATGATGTCGCTTTATCGTTTTTGGCCCCCTACAGGGTACACTTAATCCTGCCCTTGAGTCCTGGAGCAGCAGGTTCACCGCATCCCACATGAGGAGCTTGCCTGAGGCTTTGCGTCTAGCATCACCCAACCTAACATGCAATCCAATGTAGCCCCATGTAAACTAACAGTAATCTTTGTTGGGCCGCTTTTGGAGCTTCCATGTGGACTAGAGTGACTAGAGGATTGGAACTAGGGCCTTGCCAGGATTTTCCAATTGTCCATTGACATGTGACTTCGGATGGGAATCTCTGAACAAAGTCCAGTCTCTGGATCCAGTAAGGGGCCTGGGAAGGTCGGATTGATACTCAAAATTGAATAGTAATAAGTTGTAATGAATGAAAAGAGTGCGAGTCAAAAAACAAACTTACTGTAACCTTTGAGCATGAAGGAATGACTCCTCAATGCGAAGCAGTAACATTGACGTGCCAGAACTTTTTCCTTAAAACCCAAAGCCCAGGACAAGCCCTGCAGTCATCTCTATGTATTTTCCAGAAGTGGTTGACCGTAAATCCTTTCAGGGTCCTTGTGTAGAACACTTCTTGGCCTGAAAAGAACGCCCGTACTAACAACTGAACAGGGCTCCGCTTTCGGCATTGGTGTGGTGAGGATATCAAGACAACAAACCCTATTCAACATGTTTGAATGACATAATTGCAAGTTTCATAGCTCTAGACAGCCCTGGATTGACAAAATGCAGCGCTATGCTCGCCAAACTGATAACAACACATCCCCGCGCAATCCCTGCCACATGGAAAGACAATCCAGGCTGAGAAAAGCGCTGCCAGTCTCGGAGGACTGCCCATAATTCCTGTGTGGTCGGGGTGTGATCATCGACAACATCATTGGGCTACGGCAGCAACAGCTAGTTCTTCAACAGCTGTACTGCTTTGTGCACTGAGGTTGGAGCAATGGAGCTGGGGCGATAAGGTTTGCAATGCGACCACGGCTAATGAGAACATGAAAGCTAACAATAACAATGACGTAACAAGAGTGTCAGCGTGCAAGGAATCGCGGCCTGGTGCTTTGAGGTATCAAGTAGTCATTCAGCTAACAGCATTTGCTGAGGATCATCAAATCCGTCGCCGCGCATACAAGAATGTACAGTGCTGAATGTTGCCAGCGAACATTTTGTTCCACAACGGTGAGTGCTGTGTGATGCAAGCCTCTCCCTTGCAGCCAGTGCTGCTGAAGTGACGTCCTTTTGGAGCATTGGTGACAGCGTGCAAACAGCCATACAACAGATCATGCGCTGGATGGACAAGTCCTGCATAACGCTCTAGATGCTATAGCACCAAAACTAGCAGAAGGGGATTGGGATTTCATGGTCCTGCAAGATTTTGTCCATCTACAGCAGTAGTATGTATGGGAAAACAGTTGCTAGTATCCGCCTTTGGTTTGTCGCACGTGGAATCACTGGAAGCGGTGGCCGTGACGGAAACCAAGAATAGACAGCTGATTTGAGGAGATGGCAACCCGCAAGGTCTCCAGAACCAGCCAGTCGTGGAAAAGGGTCAGTATATGTCACAAATGCACTAGGAACTCACGGATTACGTTTTGGACGGCAAAGCCTGGAATGTTGGCATTGAAATCCGTGGACCTTACAATTTAGGGGCTTAAATGATTGGAAGAAAGCTCTGGGTTCATTGAAGAGGATAAAAAGCCCTACTATTCAGTCTTTCACAATTACTTCTTTGGCGGATTCCTTCTTTGCATAAATGCGGATCGAGCTTCTCTGACCAGCTGGCTGCGATGATGCAGAATCCAACGACTAGCATAGCTGCCGACAGGTCGTAGGGTGCTGTGTAGCCTCCATAATACAGTCTGATGCCTCAGATTGTTGGAGGTTTTGTAGGGCTACGGTTCATGTTCGCAGTGTACACCCCACATCCTTCTCGCCAGCTTGGTTAGTACCTTAGAAGAATTTCCAAGGGCCATTTGAGAAAATGCTCAGCACACCCTGCCTAAACCGACATGCAACCACAAAAAGAACCTCTTCTAAGACTGCTGTCCTTACAACAAGGTGGCTGGATAGGGTTTCATTTTATCTTGGGAGAGGGCAGAAGCCGACGTCAGCAACTAAGAACCCTGATAGACCTGTCCATGTGTCCATGAAGGATTTCCATCAGACACGCGCATGCCGGTTAAAAGCCGTGTCCCTGGATGCCTGAAGGGGCCATCCCAACCCTGAAAGAAACAAGTGTGTTGAAGAAAAGGAGAATGTGATGTCCACTCAGACAAGACCTGATATGCGGGTACCAGTGGGGCTCCCCAGGTGACAGATACAGGCTCATCGTCAGAGACTTAATGGCAAGATAGGCTACAAAGACACATTAAACCCCGTGCCAGCACCATACTCACAAGCTTTAATGTGGGCGTGATGGGGTCCGCTTATGGGAGGCACGGAAAAGGAACAACGACAATGCCCTTGAGAGGCCTCATTTCCCACAAGAGGCTCAGACCCCCATTCCCGAGCCGAAAAGGGGGTGGGCCCGATCAGTACAGGCAGGTTTTCAAGGCATGCTTCAGCAGAAGCTCTAAATCCTCGTGCATAAACTCCAAACCTCTAAAAATGAGAATTGAGGTTTTCAACCCTAAGCCCGAGACTCTAATCCCCAAACCCCTCAATCCTCAACTCCCCACTCCAAACCTCTAAGCCCGCAAGCCTAAACCTAAAAAAATATTCCCAACTGCAACTTTCGACCCAGATGCGACCGTCCAGCTGCTGTAGCTTTGTGCTATCCACAGCAAGTTGTGCAACCAGACCCGCCAGCACTGCCACCATGTACATGGCACAGAACTTGAGGCCTGAGGGTGGCTACTTATAACCAGTTTCAGAACCCCACTTCTAAACAGTAATGGGGTCCCATGAACCTCGAAGAAGTATTCTCCACAACGAGCGAGAGGATCTTCCTGTTAACCCGGCCACATACAAACACTGTCTGCTTCCATAATGTCGAACAGCAGCCTTCACGTTTCCTTTACAGCTTGCTTGTGTTCAGGATACCTGGTACCTGATGACGGGCGTCCTGGTCTCTAATGCGGAAGCCTGAACAAATGTCAAGATTACGTGCTTCAAATGACAGTGGTCCATGCCCCAGGAAGTTTCTTGGAATTGCTTCATGACTTTGCAGCTGATCTATCCCTATGCTATAAAACACCCTCAGCACCCTGGCATGGAACACACCCCATTAACATGTTGTTCTGTCCTGTCCAGGGTGCGGTTTTTCACAGCATGCGGTTCTTTGAAGGCTTTATGGTTTGAACCAGCATCCAACCCAAAAAGCAGTTGTTCTTTAGGAAGCACCTGCAAAATGATAGAGGTAATTTCTGGCCTCGAGGGAAGGTAGGGAGGAGACAAAACTTCTCAGAAACCCCAAAAGGTTTTAATCTTGGACCCCCCAAATGCTGAAACTCCCAACCTCTACATCCTGAGCTTCGGGCCGAACATGTACGCCAGTAAGTTCGAGGAAAACTTATGCCTTGCAGTGTGCTCGGATACCATCCAACACTCCTCAGGGCGACGCAATCTGTAGGGCTAATTTCTGGATAGCCTGGGTATTTCCAAAAATTAGGGGTCCATTTTTATGACATTTTTGCGGGATTAAGGGGTGTCCTAGCGGCTAAATTGGTGGGATTTCTTTGTATGGTCTCCCAGATGGACACTTTATACATATATATATATATGTACATATAGATATACACTCACTCTTCTTGCTTAGGATCCTACCCCAATCCCTAAATCGTGGGACGGTTTGGAGGGCTTTTGGCTGTGGAGGTTATGCTGCGAATGCTGAACACCCGCGGAACTGAGGCTGACGCGCAATGTGCACAAGCTGGGGTGCATGAATAACGTCGTCTGATATAACAGTCATTTGGGTGATCATGGAGACCGCTTGGCATACGGTCATACGGTCCAAATTCCTTTATGTCTGATATGTATGGGAAACCACTTGTGCTTTGAGTGCAATGCTGTGCTACTCAGGGTCACAGTTGGGTCGATGCATGCTGCTGCAGGGAGCTCAGAACCGTCGGGTTCTCTCAATTCCTGGGAAATAGACTATGCCAAATTTCGCGTTTGGCCAGAAGAAGACTTAGCACTTAAGGGCCAAATCCTCAAAAGCCAAACCCAAACGCTGTCGTAAACCCCTGTGATCCCTTGCTGTGCAAGTGTCGAAGCACGAGAATAGGATTGACGTGCCAGCTCCAGCCAGTACTCGCCCGAGCATAAGCACGAAATACACATTCCAGTGCATCCTAGGCAATACAGCGGCAGCACATTGCAGATTTCCAAAGTAGTAAGGGTTGAGAAGATTTAGGTATAGTAGCGGGCTGAGGGTCCACGTTCTAGAGTTTAGGGTAGAGTTTCCAAGCTTCGGAAAGCCCGCAACCATAATGGACATAGTCCTCGTTGAAATTCCACTGCATCCTAAGCCTAGGGCCTAAGGCTTGTGCCCAGGATGTTCATAGCAAACAAGGTCTTATCAACAGGTAATTACAGTCTGTAATTACAGTCTGTAGTATTGGCTCATGCGCAGCATTTCTAGTACCATTGGGGAAGGCAAACCTGCAAGCATAGCCAGAAGTACTCTGTCAACGTTCCTAAGTTCACTCTGCCCTCCCGCGATTGAGATGACGTCTAGCTTATAGCAAATCTTATTAACTGGACGTTTTGGATGTTGCCGGTATTGTTGGCACCAGCTTCTCTCTTGCCTGTGTGCCTGGCATCGAAGACTTCGTTGAGTGTAAAACCCTCTATGCTTCACAATGTCGTCGCCGAGATGCGACATGGCGGCGAGGGTATGGAAAATGCAGTATGCCAAGCAGCATCTCTTTCGACCTGGAACGTCTCGAACCACACGCGGAAACATTGTTGTTTAGGGTCTAAGTTGCAAGGTTGGCCTAGGAGGATTTTTCAATACAAGGTTTTTTTTTTTTCTTTTTTCTGTGGAGCCCTTGACATCCTCAACCCTGCCAACCTTTGCTTTGGAAGCGTATATATGGCAACATGTCAACGCTGAGGCGGCCTGTCCCTAGGCGGCACGGACATTTGAAGAAGCTTAACATCAAAGACGACCTCGTGACCATTATAGAGCCGCCAAAATAGGTAGAGACATTGCGAAACACCAGGGCTGGCTACAACTATAACAAACTGCAGGATATCACCTGATTGTAACTTGGATTTCAGCCTACTTAGTTGTCAAGTAAACTTCAAATCCACACGAGCGAGGGGCCGAAACGGTCGGCTAGTGAGCCAATGCCGCAGCTGCAAATCTGCGATGTGCGCTTTGTTGAGAAAAAGGTCAAGGGTTGAATGGTTCAGGGTAAGGTTCAAGGTTCCGGACAGTGGTGTAGAGTTTGATGCAGTAGGCCCAGTAGGTCAAGGGCAAGAGGTTGAGGATCAGGGCTGAGGGGTTCAACGTCCCCAAAAGATTTACGAATGAACCCGTTTGGGTTTCAACTTGCGTGTGAAGCTCGCACGGATCCACATTACTAAGTCACAGCATGCCGAGGCTGACCAACCAACCCAGTCCATTTAATTGGTTATAGTTCCCCTTAAGTAGATAGAATATGGAATTCCCCCAAATCAGACTGAGCTTTCCCAAATACTCCATGTTCTGTCTACTTCGGGAAACTAGGTAACTCTAACAACGAAATGCTCTTTCCGAAGCACGACTCAGCTCTGCACACAGAATCGCAGGAATGACTACAACTTCCCAGTTAATGGAGTTGCACCTCTGAGGCGCAAAACCCGACTGGTAGAAGGTTTACCCCCAATGGCAGGGAGATAACGGGTCTGCAGTACCCCTA